ATCATTGATAAGAAAATTATATATTATAGAATTAGCGTCCAGCACAGCTAAAGCAAAACCTTCCGTTGGTTGGCCCAAAGACGCAAGTTGGCTAACAGCGGCATAACAGCTGGGGAAATTTGTGGCTAACAGCGGCCGTTAAAATGTCCCACACTTGGCAGGCGCCTGGCCTGATAAGAGTCGCGTCGCAGGCTGGCTTTGAGTTAGTTGCCAGCGAGCAACCAAGCGACATGGACGTGCAACAGCAGCCGCAGCAGCAGCAACCATAGGCAGCAACTGAAAGCCATTTGAGCCAACATTTGAATGGACAACGGTCAGCGAGGCAGCGCCAACTAAAAAATTGAAGTTTCCGTTATTTTGGAGTTGTGTGTGTGTTGTTTTTTTTTGTGCTCGTTGCTGATAACTTTTGAAGGCTGGCAGCCAAGTGAATGACTCTTAATTGGCAGTGAAAAAAAAGAAAAATAAAAATAAAAATAAATAAATGTAAAAAAAATTAAAAAAAAAATAAAAATAAAAAAAAATAGTGAATATAAATAAAGTTTGCTTTGCAATATTTTTTTTGTGTGTTAAATTTTGCAGTTGTTCCTTGCGACATTGCTGTGGCTAATAACAAGTATATTGAGTGAGTGAATATGTGCATGAGTGTGTGTGTGCATGTGTGTGACTGTGCATGCTGTGTGTGTGCGTGTGTGTTACGTGTTGTGCATGTGTAAGCAGGCGCATAGCGAGAATTGCTTGGCGCGCTCAAAAGTAGGCAACGGAAACGCAACGCACTGAACTTGGCTGCCATTTGGCCGTATGTGTGCATGTGTGCGTGTGTGTGTGTGTGAGTGTGTCACTCTGTGTGGGTGCATGAGTAAGTGAATTGAGTGTACGTGTGACTGCATTAGTAAGTATGTGAGCATTCCGTCTAAGCGTTTTTTACTCGGCTCTTGCCTTGCCTTGTTTTGTGTGCGTGTGTGTGTGTGTGTGTGTGTTATATTTGCGACAATTTATCATAATTGGCTTTACATTTAAAGCAGCTGGAGTTTACCCACCGACATATGTATATACATACATATATTGAAATACTACTGCCAACTGCGTAACACAAGCTGCCAAAAATAAACGCTAAGCAACGAATAAAACTGCCAAGACAAAGTCAGACGAAGAAGAAGCAAAACAAACAGCGAAAAATACGCTTTCTTCCACCTGTTTTTTTTCTGTGTGTGTTTTTTTGTTTGTTTATTGACAAAGTGCAAAACAACAACAATAACAACAACAACAACTACAACAATCGACAATAGAAGCCGCCAACGTGTTCACAATTTCGTTAATGCTGACGCCCACAGAGCAGGCCGTGCGGTAAGTTGACAATTCCATTCCATTCATTTCCATTTTCATTTTGATTTCTCTCTGCACGTCTCTGCCTCCTGCTCCTGCTCCTGCTCCTGCTCCTGCCTCCTGCTCGTTACACATTTTCCAACGCAATTGCGAGTGCACTTTTAGCAGCATTTTGTTCGTACTACACGAACAAGCTTCAAACGCCGCTTGATTTCTAAGTGCATCTGCATGTTTGCATGTGTTCGATGCTCTCTGTGTGTGTGTGTGCGAGCAGGGGTCGTGGTCGGTTTCGTTATTACAAGTTATGCGCTTTGGCATTCCAGCAGCCAAAGCCAACAAGCCAACAAGCCAACAGGCCAGCAATCTAGCAATGCCAGGCAGCTGCTACCAATGCTGCTCCTGCTTCTGCTCCTGCTGCTGCTGCTGCTTCTGCTGCTTCTGCTGCTTCTGCTGCTCCTGCTGCAAGCGCCAAGAAAAGTCACGTTGCCAATGGCAAATGGCAACTTTGAGTTGCTTTACCCCAAAACAACAAACTATAGAAATAGATATATATGTATATATA